AGAGAAGCGGACACGCGGCGGCGGCAGACCGGCAGCACTTATACATCTGGGGGGGTTACGCGGTAATGATGTAGAGGTTGATGGTCATATGTGAGCGCTGGTCTGTCACTCTGATAGTGTTCAGTTTTTGACTGTTTTCCCCTTCAGTCTGTCGCAGATCAGGAGCAGTTTCTCCCGCGGGACGAGATCTGGATATATGACTTAGAGAGAGGATCATGGTGAGAGAGAGAGAGTGAGTGAGTGTGTTATTAGAGAGAGAGAGTGGGGCTATTCCAGAAAGTATATATATATATATATAATCCAAACTTTGCATTGGTACTGAATAATCTAATGTATATGCACAAATATATTATTGTAAAGTATCCTGTAGAAAATATTAATTTAAAAGAGAAATCTGTGAGGGGGTTCTTAGCTCTCTCTCTCTCTCTCTACTATACATTTATATATATATACACACACACACACACATGTTTATTCTTTTAGGCTTAGTGCCTTTATTAATCTGGGGTTACCACAGCGCAATGAACGGCCAACTTATACAGCATATGATTTATGCAGCGGATGCCTTCACTGGGAAACATCCATACACACTCATACACATTCCTGCATTACGGCCAATTTAGCTTATTCAATTCACCTATAGCGCATGCCTCATGTCTTTGGATTTGGGGAAACCGCAGCACCTGGAGGAAACCCACGCGAGCACGGGGGTAAGAAAGACACTGACTAATTTAAAGAAGAAGACTACATTTCTTAAATAATGACTTTAAACTGTAAAATGAGTGGAATAATCGGGAGATGATCCGGGCTGAGCAGCAGCGTCACTTCACTGTACAGATATTTCCCCACAGGCTGCGGGAAACTCAAGTGGCAAAGGGAAAGCAACGATTAGCAGCAGATTCAGGAGCAAATTAAAAATCCCACCGCTTGTGTGTGCACGGCTCTTTATTTATTTTAAACCTATGTGCTTACATTTAGAACATCTGGTTTACAGTGAGCCTGCAATGCATTAAAACTTTTCCTTGCAAGCAACAATTGGCAGAAGCGCAAATTCTCTCTCTCTCGAGCACATGCGCGCGGTCAAGCACAATTACTGTGTTTTATAACAAATAGTTAATTTAATATTAATAGGCCTAAATAATAGCCTATATTTAAATATATGTTGCTACTGTAGCCTATTGAACAATCTGCAGTTTCGCGGCTCACTCGCTGTGATCAGCTGTATCATTTCAGAGCTCTTTCAGTTCTCTAGTTGCCATGGTAGCGCACAACATAATCGATTTATCTGTGCTCGACTTTTAAGGTTTCACGACAGAAACGTGCACGAGCAGTCATCTAGATTATTGAAACTGAACTCAGACTAGTCAGATCAAATGATCTTCAACTTGCGGTTATGGAACCAGTTTAAGCGTGGACGTTTAGTTCAGCTCATTGAAGTCAGACTTTGGGCTTTAATCCCCGCTTTTCTTAACCACAGTCAGTGTCTTTCTTACCCCCGTGCTCGCGTGGGTTTCCTCCAGGTGCTGCGGTTTCCCCAAATCCAAAGACATGAGGCATGCGCTATAGGTGAATTGAATAAGCTAAATTGGCCGTAGTGCAGGAATGTGTATGAGTGTGTATGGATGTTTCCCAGTGAAGGCATCTGCTCAGGGCCGGATTAACCAATGGGCCTTATGGGCACAGGCCCAGGGGCCCGTGAGCACTAGGGGCCCCTGCGAGGGGGGAGAAAAAAAGACAATTTCGGAGTGTCTTTTTTGGCTAATTGCAAATAGCGCATCAATTTTGGACTAAGCTATTCAGGGTTTACGCCCGTCGATGCCTGATTGATAGAGACAACATGAGTAAAGAGCTATTAAACATTACAGCCGCAGTGGCGCACCTTGTAAGGCGCACAACAGTATCTTTTGAGGCGATTAATCATAAACTCGGTTCGAATCCACCATCAGCGGAACTCGTGCTACTTTTTTTTTTCCCCATTACATATCAGATTGGAAATATATTTATTTTTAACAGGAAGGAAACATTTTTTAAAAATAATGCAAATGTGATATAAAGTCACAAGTGTTTCGCGGGTATTTAATAATGTTTAGTCTTATTATAGGTGCCTCCCTCTCTGCAAAAACTATATTGCTCAGACAACTGTATTTCCTCTGAGCAAAAAAATCGCGATCACATATTAATATTATTTTTTATTTAAACTGCCTTTTTTTCGTTAACTAAACAGAATGCTGTAATTGGTCAAGCGCGGAAACGTCAGTTTTGCAATAACCCGCACTAAACTGAGCGGACTGTAGTGTAACGTTATATCTGTCATAGATCAAAAATGAGTGGACAAGTGGATTTAGCAAACGCGAGAGAAAGAGGAGAGGAGGCATCTTTATTGAGGCATTTTCCATACACACTAGAGATGCGCGGATGGGCTATTATTTCATCCGCAACCGCATGACAAAATTCATCATCCGTCCGCCATCCATCCGCAGTAACATTTTTGATCAATTTTTAAAACCGCACCCGCCCGCCATCTGCTGATTGGGCTCTTTATTTGAATGGCTTATTCCTTTTTTTATTAAATGAATGTTTCTTTATTGATCATTATAGAATAGAGAATGACTTTAATGTAGACATGCAGTTAATCCAAACGTGCAAGTCATTAATTGACGACGCTTTGAAGTGACGCTAAAGATACGAGGACGTGTCTTTTCACTTGATTCGATTCCTCGGTCCTTCAGTCTTTTCCTTGCGTCTTTCCCTCGTAACGTTATCCCGGTGGGGTGGAAACACGAGGAAAGAAAGCAAGGAAAGGAAACGAGGATGCACAAATAAGAAATGAAAAGCACCCGAGCTCTCAGAATATCAGCAGTGAACTCCGTCTCCAATCGGCGCACAGGGACAAAAATAAATAAATAGCCTAAATTAAACGCACTGTACTGTACAACTTTTTTATTGTAGCCTAATAGAAAACGCATTGACACATCATTTCAACATGCTGCTATTTAGCCTACTACTAAATGCCTATTTCACTTAATTTTTTAGTAAATAGATAGAATAAGTCATTTACATTATAGCCTAATAATGTTTACATTTGTAGTTGTCCATAGCAACCCCAAAAACGTACCTGCTTGCCTTGCACATCTAATTAATGGGCACAGTTTTTCAACTATTTTTTATTTTTTGCTGTGGATGTTATTGAGCTTGTAGAAATCGGAAACAACACAGTTCTGCGACACAGATGATCCTTTATTGATATCTCTATCAGACAATACCTATTTTATATGCCAAAAGAAACAACAGGCAGTAAAAAAATATTAACATAAATATCTTAATGTAGGCATAGGCTATAGTCGCATGCTTTGGCAAACAGTTGAAAATTTATTAATAAAAACATCATATCGTGCCTAAAGCCTTGTAGGCTCAGTCACCCCCACAATTAGAAATTAAATTAGAAAAATAGATATGCCATCCCTCTTTGAGCGAACCTGACCAAGCTAAAGTGCATGTATAACAAGTGCCCCAATAACCCATGGACTTAGGATCATCCCCATTCCCCTCAAACTTGAAGCATAACGAAATACTACGCCATTAAATTTGCGACAAAGAAATTCTGGCAAAATAACCTTAGCCTCGGAACGTAAAAGCGAGGCCAACATGTCTAGAATAGAATAGGCTAAACCAATATGAACGTAAAGTTATCAGCTGACCGAACTCAAAAGTTTATATTGAACATATTTGTAGCCTAAATAACATAGGCTAATTGGTTTAATATGCCTGACCTTAGGTCTAGTTTGATTTTTTCTTGGCACAATGCAGGAATAAAATAGCATCTACAGTGTCAGGATTCAGACGGGAGCGCCTGCATAGCCACTATAATGCGCCCTGCTGCACTGAAGGAGCGCTCGCTCGCAGCACTTGTTGCTGAAATGCATAGAATTCTCTTGGAAAGGTTCTGTAATCGTGGGAATGCCTGTCCTTATTTCTCCCAAAAGGAAAGTAGGTTTTCCTCTGCTGATCCGTCTATACGGAAGTTTGTAGAGGAATACTTCTGTACACTTCATCCAGAATTAATGTATCCGATTCCACCTCCCATTCTGTGAAGTCAGTCGTAGGCTTTTTCGTTGGTGCGCCAGCTATGAATATAAAACAGTACAACCGCCCGCCACCCTCCCGAATTTAATTAAAATATTATTTTTTCGTAACGTCATCCGCCCGATCCGCGGTTTATCCGCGGAGTCCGCGGCTATAACCGCCAACCGCGCATCTCTAATACACACCATCTTTAAACAGACCCGTGATCAGGAGAATGAGGGTACAGAAGAAGACGTTATGGTAACTTTAAATGATGAGTAGCTAGCATTAACCAGGCGGAGGAGGTTAACGGCAGCGCAGCGCGGACTGGATTCATCGTGTGAGAGACAGACAGAAAAGGAGAGAGAGAGGGAGAGAGAGAGAGAAAGGCCCAGAAGAGGAGAGACACGGGAGAGAAGAGGTATAGTGTGTGTGATTTCGGATACTTTTAGGTTTATAATCAAGTCTTCATCACGAGAAGAGTAGAGAAAATACAGGGAGAGGAGAGAGAGACAGTAAATCAGTGTTTGTATTATGAAAGACTCAGATTCATAGAACTGGATTGGAGAAGCATTGTGCGTTATATGCCATGGCATTAATATGCTTTATAAGTTTGTAAAAGCAATACACTAAAATACCCTTTAAAAAAATATATATATATATCTACTAGGGATGTAACGGTATTGTAAATACCGTCATACCGCAATATTAAATTTTTTCGATATTACCGAAGTCGCATGACTCGGTAAAACTATAGGTCTTCTGAGAAAATTTGCTCAGGCGAATGAAGCGAACGGGAGGTAGCTGAAACTTCATTTCCCATCAGCCCCGGCGTGGCCATAATCCTTTGCGGTCTGTTGTCGCTACAGATCCAGTAATGCGGAAATGGAGTGTGCTGCTAGTAGCGGAGATGAAAAAAAGATGGAAATGATCGAACCTAAAGCGGGTGTTGTCGCCGCGCGCGTGCTGAATAGCGGTGCTGTCGCGCGCGTTCTGATCAGCTGTGTTGTGGCGCGCGTATTGTAAAGCGCCGAGGGGGGGTTGAGCGCGCATACTCAAGAGAGGTGTTATCGCGCGCCTACTGAAGGGCTGGACTGGACGGAGGTTGTGTCGCGTCGCGGGGGCACTTTTGATCGTTTTGGAAGGGCATTTTCTA